GTTACATGTAAGTCCTAAAGCTGCTTAGAATAAGGCTATCATGAAGGAGTGCTTACAGGCAAGAAAAGTACAAAGTACTCCTTTGATGGAGTTCAGGTGGGTTGAATGGCTTGGCAATAAGACCAAAGAAGTAAAAAAGGAAGAAGGTCACGTAAATTTGTCAAGCAACATCTTCTAAAACTATGACACAAAAATAATCTTAAAAATAAAACTTTTAGTCATCTTATCAGCAACTTAAGGAGAGAGACAAAAGGCAGGCTTTCTAACTCACTGCCTTTCCACAACTAGAAGGGACAGTAAATTGACATCATCAAGAACCAAAATAATGTGGATAGAGTGATGAAATGATATTAACAAGATTTAATTTGTTTTGGAATAAATGTTACATCCTACCAAGCTTAAAAAAATCAACCATGCAGACACATGCTATTTTCAACTTGCCTTAAATACACTTTGGGAGAAAAGGTTCATAGGTTTTAATTGATTACAAATGCAATATGACACTTGGGGTGAAGAAAAAAACCCCAAAGAACAAAAAGCAAAAACAAAAACACCCCTGAGTGAACTCTTGGTCCTAAATACATGTTTGTAATAATAAAAAAGGTGATGACAGTCTCAGAGAATTTGCATTAGTCAGAGAAAGCCCTTCCAAATCAGTGCCCTGATTGCACATTGTATGGACAGAGAGGCAGGCAAAGCCTTAGTGCAAGTTTCGTCAAAGAGGTGAACCTGCAAGCATGCCTACCATGGTCAACTATGAGTGCTAGTGAGGCAGGGACTGTGTCTGTCTCGTTCATAGCAGGAACCTAGCACAGGACCTTGGGGCCTGGTACAAATAGCTCCAAGAATTATGTTTTAAGACTTTAGTTTAAAAATGTTTGGGGCAGTTGCATTTTCTGCTGGTAATGCACTCAGATAGTCTTACATAATGCAAGATTAACCTAGCAAAGCACAGCAGCACTGCCTTGTAGCAAGAGCTAAGCTCAGTGGAGACTTACACTTGGCTTTAAAATTTTGTAATTCTTGGCAAAATTTTAATTTTCTAGGATTTGCGTTATTTCAAATTTTGTGCCTAATGTGAGATTTTGGTAATAAACTTTATCAACTAATTCAAATATGCCTCATTTCACATAATATGCACTGGCACTCTGAGGATTATTTCAGCAAATATTAATTGAGATCTACTATGCTGCAAGGTACTTTTCAGTGCTAATGATACAGCAGTAGGCAAATTTAACTCTTTATGTAAACTATGCAGTTTGTCTAAAGTTCTTCCATGGAATTTGCCTTGAAAACCATCTGTCTAAACCAATTAGTTTACCAATGAAGGAAATAAAATTAAAGGAATCAGTCACTTGTTCACTCTCACAACTAATTGGCAATGGAGCTGGAAGACAGTGATCTACAGAGGCCGGTCCTAGCAGGCAGTCAGTGCCCACTTGTAGTTGCAAGTAAGCTGCTAAACTTAACTTGGAGGTGCATTTATGAAAGGATCTCAGAAGTAACATAGAATCATCATTAATAAATACTCTGTTAATGTCCTTGTTAATTTTCTCAAAAATGAAAAATTTTCCAGACTATGTTTTTCTATGTTTTTTTAAATCCTCAGGAACACTTTTTCAATTTTTTAGAGAAGAAGGAAGAAAGAGAAATATTGATGTGAGAGGAAAACTTTAACTGGCTGCCTCTTGTATGCATCTGGGACTGGGCTGGAACCTGCAGCCTAAGTATGCGCCCCAATTGGGAATCGAACCTGCAGCCCTTTGGTTACAGAACAACACTCCAGCCAACTGAGCCATACCGGCCAGGGCTTTCTATGTTTTTTAACCAATAATTTCTTTAAAAAATATACATGTATTAGAGGCATATACATGTATGTGTATGTGAAATTAAAAGTTTAAGAAAACAAAAATACTTACCTTTCCTATATGCTATGCTATTTTATTTTAATCCTGATTAGCAAGCACTAAATGGACTTCATGTTCCACTAACAAGGAGCAACCAGAAGTCTACTGAACACTGTTCTAGTGTACATTCAGCAGACTGATTACTACTCTACAGTCCATAATTAATTCACATGTTTCCTCCTCAGAGAAGCCTTCCAGCACTCCAAGCATAAGCAACATGACCTTCCTTAAAGCCTGAAATCAGTGACAGTGAGGGTACAGGGAAGGAGCAGGTTCAGGAGAGGATGGAAAGTGGCACTGGAATGACTCTCTGTGCCATACCTGAGACCCCACTGGAACAGGAACCCCTTGAGCACAGGGGCACAGTAGGCTTTCCCATCACCTCTCATCCCCGACCCATCTTACATTGAATCTCAATAGGCAATTGTTGAAATAAATCATGCAGGGAGCTGATGAAAGAGCTGACCCTGAAAGCAAATGAAAGAACCCACCGATCGGAGGCTGCACACTGATATCAATGGACTGAATTTGGCCCTCAGATGTGTTTCATTTGGCCTGTGCAGTTCAAAAAACTACAGAGACAGCATTTAAAAATTGGAGGTTTCATTAAATTTCCAGATTTGTGGCTCTGCTTGTCGGTACACCAGAGTCATCCTCATGCTGGTTATCCTCAACATCCACTCTCCTGTGATGCAGTCTGCTTCCCCATGTCCAGGACCTCTCGGGCCCTACAGGTGTTTGATTTGTGAGTCTATGCCAAGCAAGGGGAGAAAACCCTGTCTAGAAAAATAGTCTATAACTTGGTGAATGAGCCTCCCACCATCTGGGGGAAGGAAAAGAACAAGAAGGAAAGGACTCTTCTTACTCAAGAAAGCAGAGATCCTGCAAACTTTTCCCAGGGTGAAAGGCTGCCTGAGAGAACTGTCTTTACTCTTTTCTCTCTCTGGGATGAGATATAAAGAAAAAAAAAGGTGGAATCATAAGAAAGGGCCAGCAATAGAACATTTTATTTTTCCTGTATCCTTCGGCATTGAATAATACCATTTTGCACAGGTGGGTTTTCAATAAACTTGGAAGCAAGGCTGTGGAAATTTTTTCAAATGCTGCATTGGTCTCAAAATTCTAGCTGTTCAGATATAAAAGTGATGTTTGAATACCTTTCTTCCATGAACACATCCTCATGAAATCTCATAAAATTTCAATTAAAATCACTCTCAAAGAAATAAAATAAAAGCACTCTCAACCAAAATGCCAGCACATTTTAAATAGAAATTAACAGGCTCATTCTAAAATTTATAAGGAGATGTAAAGGAGCTAAAATAGCCAAAATCATGTTGAAAAAGAACAAAGTTGGAGAAATTACACTACCTAATTTCAAGACTTATTCTGAATCTAAAGCAGTGAACGTAGTGTGATATTAGTGAGATGACAAATAAACAAATCAATGGAACAGAAATACAATCTGGAAATAGATCTACACCTATAAAAAACTAATTTTCAACCAAGGTGAATAGGCAGTGCAGTGGAGAAAGAATAGTTCTTCCAACAGATGATAGTGAAAACTAACCACATGCACACATAAAAAGAGAGAGAACTTCAAACCATACCTCATGCCACATATGAAAATTAACTCAAAATGGATCACAGTCCCAAATAAAATGCCTAAAACGACAAAGCTTATAAAAGACAACAAAAGTGACAACATCTGCAACCCCAGGCAAAGTTTCCTCAGGAACAACACCAAAAGCATAATCTACAAAAGAACAAATTGATAAATTGATATCATCAAAATATAAAGCTTCTGCTCTTTGAAAGACAATGTTAAGAGAAAGGAAACTACAGAGCAAAAGAAATTATTTGCAAATCATATATCCTATAATGGACTTATAGACAGTATGTACAAAAATTACCAAGGCTTGATAAGAAAACAAATAACACAATTTAAAAATGGGCAAAGAATTGAAAAGACGTTTCAGTTGAGAAGATATGTAGATGGCAAATGAGCACATGAAAAGTGCCCAACATCATTAGTCCATAGAAATTTAAATGCAAATTAAAACCACAAAGAGATACTACTATACACCTAAAAAATTAAGAAGACTGACATACAATACAACATTAGCAAAGATGTGGAGAAACTGGAACTCTGAAACACTGTTGGTGAGAAAATAAAATGGGACAACCACTTTGGAAAACCATCTGTCAATCTCTTAAGAAGTTAAACATGACACCTACTACACAATCCAGCCATTCCACCCCTACTTGTATGCCAAAGAGGAAAAAAAGGCTGAACAAAGACATGAACATGAATGTTCACAGCCAACAGCACAGGTGCTTGTCAACAGGTAGATGGAAGAACAAGCTGTGGTGTATCTGTAACAAAGTGCTGTTCTGCAATAAAAAGAAATGAAATTTTGACATTTCAATATGAATCAATCTAAAAATAAATATGCAGAGTGAAAGAAGTCAGACAAAAAAGAGCACTGTGTAACTTTGTTTCCATAAAATTTTAGGGTATGACATTAATATATAATGACAGAATGCAGATCAATGTTTGCCTGGGGATGGGGTGACAAGAAGGAATTACAAAGGGGTATGAGGAGAAACTTTGAAGAGTAATAGATATGTTCACATTTGATTGTAGTAATAGCTTCATGGGTATATACACATGTCAAAACATCAAATTGTATACTAAGAATACATGTGATTTATTGCATGCCAATTACACCCCGATAAGTTTAAAAAAACAGTAAAACGAAAAATAACACTCAGCTATGCTGTCCCTTCTTGTCCCCTAACCCCATGCCAATGTGTTAAGTCTTCTTTCCTAGACTTTCCCATAGTGCTGCCTGCTGGCCCCATTGGGATATATTTGCAATATAGTGCAGTTTTCATCTAATTTTTAAGTTGAGCCATACAAACCTGCCAATATTCTATAATTTGATCTTAAAAATGGCAGCTTCATATGGCTCAGCCTAAATGCTTGCTGCCTATTCTACCTGATGATGAGCTCTCTGAGGTCCAAGAAGGGTCTGGTCAATGATGTCTGCTGAGTGAGTGTTCTGCCACTTTGAAAATTCTTTCCTCTGCAATAGGTCATTTTAAAGAGAGCTTATGGGACCAAAACCAGGAACTCTTAATGCTGTGACCTAAGATTGAAGTTCTCCATAAGATGTAATAGACAATAGTGCTGTGTTTTCCTAAGAAGATATACAATAAAAATGAAGAGGAAAAGAAAAAAGAAAATTCTTTTCTCTATAGCTACCCACTCTCTGCTGGATCGTCACAAGCATCTGAAGAAAGGGCTCTGGGGCCCTGCCTTTACAGCCTCATCCCTTTTATCCACTTAAAATCACTCAAGCACCCTGTAGTGCAAAACCTCCTTTTTGTAAAATCTTAAAATTTCCCACATGAAAAGGATCTTTTAAAGCAACAGAAACATACCCCTAGGCTGCTGGCAGCAGAAGACGTAGCTCTGAAAATGTAAAAAGTGTTAAACATTTAAAGCAACCATAAATCAAAGTAAAACTCTGATTCTGGACATCTCTCAGAGTAAAAATTCCAGAGGCTGCAGTACTTTAAAATAATACCATGTGCTTTGGCCCCCAGCCTTGGCTGCTTCTCCCTTAGAACAACAAAAAGAAGCATGCCAGCTATTAAAGGCCATCTTGTTATATAATGCAGTTAATCTCACATACTCTTCCCTATGGGACTTAACCCAAGTTTCACAGTGGTCTATTTTATTTAGCATTGATAGTTTTATTCGTTTCTTATTAAAGAGATCTTTCCACAAAATTGGCTGCTCTCTCAGCTTGGCTTGAGAAGGAGGAATATCTGAATTAAAAATCTGTGCAACAGATGGACTTCAGTTACAAAGAATATCTCTGGCTTCAGAAGTTCCTCACAGACGCAGGTGTCAAGCCTGTTACTAAGTTCCTGGCTTGCAGATTTTCCTGAAGAAACTTTAGGTCTCCATTTATATGTACTTAGTAGGCATAACAGAGGATAAAAGCAAAGACTCCATAAATACTGCTTCAATTCTGGGGATGAATTTGTCCCAGTTTTGTTCATTTAAGGAACAGTAATTTTATGAATGATAAAAAAAACAATGCCATCAGGCAGACCAGAGGAGGAGGGCGAGAGGGGACACGTCGCATTGCTGACACACTCACCCTCCTCTAGAGGTGGGGTCCCAGGTGATGAAGGGCCTGAGAGATAGGGAGAGACACACCAGACATCTTGCTTATTTGTGGCTCTTTACAAGGAAGGGGTTGAGAAAGGGCTGCAGAGTCGTCTTGGCTTCCTACTGTTGTTCCTCACCCCAGCCTTAGCCAGCCCTTTAGTTCCCCTCCTAGCTACCGACTGGGCAACGGAGAAGAGAAGCAAGGTAAGTCATTTCCTTCTCTGCTGTATGACTGAGATGACAAATGCCCTGTCTGGCTTCATAGAGTTCTCATATTTGTGTTTCCCTCCATGTAGCCCTTTAAAGAGAAGGGAAGACAAAAGTAACACCTTTATTCTTAAAGCCATTACCATGGGGTAGGTATTATCATCATATTCTTTTTATAAAGAGGGCATTAATAATAGGAAAAGCTGAGTGACTTGCCCCAAACCATTCAGCCTAAGAAGTGACAGCCACTTTGTTTTGAACTGAGGCCAGAGTCTATGCTTTTCTTTTCTTTCTTTTATTTTTAAATATTTTATTTATTTACTTCTAGAGAGAGGGGACGGGAAGGAGAAAGAGTGGGAGAGAAACATCAATGTGTGGTTGCTCTCGTGTGTCCCCTACTGGGGACCTCGCCTGCAACCCAGGCATGTGCCCTGACTGGGAATCAAACCAGTGACCCTTTGCTTCACAGGCCCGCGCTCAATCCACTGAGCTACACCAGCCAGGAGTCTATGCTTTTCTGATGAGTCTCTCCACACTCCTGAATGATTTAGATGAATGGCGACAAATCGCTTGAGAAAGAAAGAAGATTCCTGGACAGTGATTTCATACTGGTTCAAATATAGTTCCAACTGTAGATACCCAGAGATGATTGAGTTGCAGTCAATACAGAAAGAGAACGTCTGCAGAGAGGAATTTATTTATTGTACGGCCTGAGGCTCCTGGAGGGAAATAGCTCTGGTCGAACAGTTTGAGATTAGCTGTACTTTAATAAATATACAAACAATGAAAACAACAAAACTTTATTTTCATGATTGGGTTTAAAACAAGCCCCTTGTAAATCCACACCTGTAATATCTACAGGACTAAAAAGATAACGTGACCAATTTAAGTGGCAAAGAGATGGGCGGGCCCAAAGGGACGCCCCGTGATGTGCTGCCACCTCCCACCAACATGCCCGGCTTTATCGAGTGGCAGCCGCGGCTTCCTGCTGATCAGGCACAATCCATGAGCAGAACACGAACAGCCTTGCCCTCCCCCCACCTCGCCACGTGCAGGAAATGCAGACACCATAAGCAGCATCTAAAATTTGGTAACTGCATCCCGTGACTTCCCAGAGCGAGCACCTCAGGAACACCACTCAGTAGAAGGCTAGCGTTTTAGTTTCAGCTATGATACACCATTTCGAAGTATTCTTTAGTGTTAACACAATTGTTCCACAAGTAATCTGAACTCTGACAAATACAAAGTAATTTTTTTTGGATTTCCTTCTCCAGCAATAAGGTACTTCTTTAAAAAAGAGAAGAAAAACCCCCAAACAACAGAAAACCGCAGGTACTATTCTTTTAGCCTACTTACTGGCAGCATTTTGTGTGTGTGTGCCAAAGAGCACAGAAGCAGCTTTTATGGTTAGAAAATTGGAGTGCTATCATACCTAGGAAATTATAGGGCTGACAAACAAAACAGCTTATCTACATATGTCCCATCTGCTTTTGGTCTTGTGTTTTGCACAATCAATTACTGGAAGCACTGGAAAGTATGCTGAGGCACTGAACATGAAACCTGGGGTGTGTCATAATAGTGACCTGGAGTGGAAGTAGTACTGCCGTAGAGCTTGTACCAAAACCCAGGCTCGCAGGAGTTTCCAGGAACCACCAAGGCAGGGCACTACAAATAAAAACACAACACACACTGAACTGGGGCCAGTGTTCTGGAAAACAGTAAAAGTAGATTTCCATTCACTGGGGAAGTGCCATCTACTTCATTATTTTGTTGGTTCACACCCTTGTGTTCACCACAGCTCAGTGTGTTCACTGCAGAAAGCAGTTTGCTCCCAAGCTGCTGGACGGTAGACTCTGCTCTTTGACAATTTCCCATACTTGTGCATCTGCTTTTTACGACGGGAGCCCTTTAGAGCGCTGTCTCTTTGGACCGCTCCATTCCAACAGCCCTCCTTCATCCTCCTCTGACAATTCCCTACCCGACGTCCATTACCTACTTCTAGACTGTCCCTGCACCCTCCATGAAATCATTATCTCCCCTTCTGCATTAGCCGCTGACAAGGAAAAAGTGCTGGCTTTTAAAAAGACGAAGTTTGACAAAGATGAGAATCGCAATGAATTCGCACTTGAATAAAGGGAATGCCTGACTATTGTAACAAAGGAACATTTTTCAGCTGAAAAAACTTGGTGGCAGAGTATTCTTAAAAGAAAAAGAAAAAAGCTTTCTATTCCTGTTGATCTAACCAATTAATGAAAACACAACATCAGTAGAAGTAATTTTAGTCTAAATTTGGAAAATTACTTTTATTTAAGGGAAAAGGGAATGGAGGGGGATATTAGTTATTGATCCATTACTCACTCTTTTGGTATACTCTTTAAGGGAGCAAAACAGATAAAAGCCCCAGAGATTCTAGAAATCAAATCAACAATGTGAACCTTTCTTAAATGAGTACATTCATTTGCATAAATCATCATATTCATTAGTCTACCATTATAAGATGGCAATCTATGAAATCATAAACCTAATTTCCATTGTTGAGAAATGACTAATAGACTTAAAAGAGAAAATGTGATTGCTACATCTATGTCTGGAGAAAAAACATTTCTCTTACTGATAAAATATTCAAATTATACTGGCTTAATCATAAGAGAGTGTTAATGAAGAAGTTGTTGGATACACTTGAATATAGATAAAGGGAGTACTATTAGGTATCATTAAACATTTTTGGATTCCACTGGGAAACAAAAAAGAGAATAATACAATAGAGACAAAGCCCAAAAGGTGAATGTATGTAACAGCAAGTCCCCTCCCATGGACTGTAATTGGGAACTTGTCCTGTCACTCCTTCTACTGCATCAACAGCTTGCCTTTCTACACCTAATGAAGAAGGAGCCCAGAGTAGCCACGAGGATGAGGTCTAGGGTCCTGATTCATGACTTGCAGTAATCTTGTCTCTCATCTCCTTGGCAATGATAAATGGTGATACAAAGAGGATGCAGGATCTGGGAGGAGCTGGCAGTTGCCAAGGCTAATTTCCCTCCAGCCTGATGTGGCGGCCTCCTTCTCTAAAGAACACAGGAAGAGTTTTTCCTTCTGACTCAGGGCTCTGAGGCTGCGTCTCATTCCATTTTCTCCTGATTAGTCAAAGCCATTGTCTGCCAAAGTAAATTGCAAATTTCCCTCCTTGCAGTGATTGATCTGTACGCAGTAATTTTCAGGGTGTGACAGCACAGTACAGGGAAACAAGTCCAAAGATTTGCTCCCCGGTCCTTTTCCTGCCACTATTTGCTGTCTACATCTCAATTTCTGCATCCCTGAAAAGGTGACAACCCAGATGATTCCCCACCTTTCTACAACACAGTTAGGTTTATTTTCCACGTCATTTTTCAATTTTCTTTCTCCACTTTTCTTATGGTCTAGAGAGTCACTCAGAGTAGATGGTATTCATAGACTACTATCTTGGTACTCTAACTCATATATTCATGTGGCCACAAATATAAGCAAAACAACCAAAGGGCATACTGGCTAGCAGTCACAGTGGGAAGAATAATTAGCCGAGTTGCATAGTGTGTTTCTTCCTTTCAGTCTTCAACTGAGAGGCAGCTCTGATTCGGCAGAGACAGCAGAAACCAGGGGGTGGCTCATGCTCCCCTTCTAGCCTCCGCTTCCTCACTTGTAAAATGACAGACACAAATGTCTGTCTGCCTGCCTGGTGGGGAACAAAACGCTTGCAGCACCGGGGCTGGGAGAACGAGTGCGCATGCTCCAGGTAAGGGGAGCAGCTGCTGTTCAGCACCTGCCAACTGCTGCCCTGGGAGGAGGGGGA